GTTACACACAGAGATCAAAAGTTCAACTGACTGAACACACAAAACAAAACATCAGAATACCTCTGATATACCACAGTTTCATATTAGTACGCAACCACGTGTGTACAGTAGATCTGGAATCAATTAGGATTCTCACGAAAGCTAATGTCATATTTTACCCGAAAATCAAATTTAACTATTATTATAGCAAAGTAATTAAATGTTTTATTTATATTTGTAAACTAAATATAACTAATTACATTTTGCATGAATAATGTGATATTAATAAAAATATATAATTAGGCATGTTTTCTCCACCAAAGCTAACTACTATAATGAAAGAAAAAAAAAAACATTTATAAATTATGAGAATCTAAGAAAAAACACCTGGTAAAAATTACTTATTGAGAATTGGTCTTAATGGCCCTTAAAGACTTTATTTATGTAAAGATTGTTTGTAAACAATAATTTTTCCCCCTTCTCTTTTGATTTTGGTGTCAAACGGGACCTGAAGATGTTTTTGTGAGAGACACCGTATTTGGTTCGTCTCAGAGAGCAGAAATAAGAGAACCGAATGATTACAGAGGATCATAAGACACATTCGGTAGCTCTGCCCTGGGAAACACACACACACACACAAACAAACACACAGAGATCTCCCATCGGAGCTCAGGGAAACATCAAGGCGCCATCTTCACACAGATCACCGCCCTGATTTATGAAGCACAAGTGTTTTCCAGAGAGCATTGCTTGAAGTACATCATCTATCCCTTTTTTGAGGGGAGGATAATCACATATATCAGTTCGGTATGGAAGCTTGATTTGGCTTTAGAACAAAAAACAAAAAATACTTTTTATCTCACAATTCAGACCTTTTTTCTCACAAATGTGATAAAAACCTCGCAATTCTGAGTTTATATCTTATAATTCTTACTTTTTTCTCAGAATATAAACCTGCAATAGCGAGTTCTAAAGTCTGGCTAGTGATACGGTATAAACTCGCAATTCTGTGAAAAAAGTTCAAATTGTGAGATATAAACTTTAGCAACAGAATAAAAAAAATAAAACAGGTAATTCTGCACACAGTTTTTGCACACAAAAATCCAAAACCATATGTCTAAAACTAGTCAGAATTGCAAGACATAAACTTGAATAGTCAGAACTGTGAGACATGGTTTTGTATTTTTGAATGGATGATGAATGGAAGATGAATAGATTTTGGGGGGTTGCTATGTAGTTACTCTTATGTTCGGAGTGGTTCCTAGGAAGTTGTTATGTAATTGCAATGGTGTGGTTTCTAGGGTGTTGCTAAGGTGTTCAGAGTGGTTCCCAGGAAGTTGTTATGTGGTTGCTACAGTGTGGTTTCTAGGGTGTTGCTAAGATGTTCTGAGTGGTTTCTAAAAAGTAACTATGTAGTTGCTCATGTGTTCTGAGTAGTTTCTAGGAAGTTGTTATATGGTTGCTTTGGTGTGGTTTCTAGGGTGTTGCTAAGGTGTTCTGAGTGGTTTCTAAGAAGTTACTATGTAGTTGTTCATGTGTTCTGAGTGGTTTCTAGAAAGTTGCTACGTGATTGCTTGACTTATTTTATTCTGTGGCATAAACACGCTTCCATAATTTGGTGTGACATTACTCTCAAACTAGTTTAAAACTAGCTAATACTTATGTTTCAGTCAATATTATGAATCAAATTATTAAAAACATTTACACTGATGATCTTATGAGCCATCAAGCACAATTGTCTTTCCTGTGTTTACAAATTTCCAATTGAAACAACAAGTCTGAGATAAGACACAGACAAAAAGCCACACAAAAAAACATTTGTACCAAAATATAATGAAGCTTGATTTAAATATTAACCTTTGCCATTGCCTGGCATCAAAAACAATTTGGGAATGTCTAGGCTATTCATCAAATTTCTATGGCAGCTTAAAAACAATGCAACTTTGCAAAACACACATAAGCCATTTCCCCGGCAACAGCATAAAGTTCATAACTGTGAGCGAATTAACCGTCAGGTGGTGGACGACATAGAGTATCGTAAACGTTTAAGTCGAGCTAACATTAATATGATCCAGAAGGCTTTCCAGCCTGTGTAATTCCAGAGTGACGAATTTTGGCCATCTAATCCTGCCTGAATCTTTCCATCCCGCAGCAGCGGAAACAGGATCAGGCCCAGAATTCCTACTGTGGGTGACAGGACTGACACAGAGGGCTTGTGTCTCCATTTAGCTGGCCTGATTTACCCGTCAGACAATGAAGACACACTGTCTGGATTCCACACACACATTGGTACGTCATCTTGGCACTGACTCACAGCTGTTAACAAGCTCATTTTGTATCTTTTGGCTACAGCGTGCCAGTCGATGATACATGTAGTTCTAGACTTTAAATCACACGTCTGACTAACCGTCATAGTGAAAGTGAATCAACAAAAGACTTTCAAATTGGATTTGAATATTTTCAAAATTCACTAGACAGGTTAGTTTTCATTTAATTCAGCAGTGTTTGTGATAGTTTCAGTTTGCTTTTTATTTCATAAACACATTTCATTTTAATTGTATTAATGAAAAATTGAATAAAAAAAAGACAGAAACAAACAAATACAAAATATTTTGTATTCCCTCAAATTGTATTTTAATATACATTGTATATAAAATGTTCTTAGACTTCAGGTTAGTTGCTTTCATTTAAATTAAAGGCATGTACACAAAATACAAAAGATAAATCAAGTGATATAGTAAATAAATGTGACATAATATAATATAATATACTTTCTCTTTTTTCAATGCAAGTTTTCACCATCTGAAATCTACATTGCGGATCACCACATCATGTCCATTTAACTATTTTAAAACATATATTAAAATAAAAATTGATTATAAAAAACATTAACTAAACTTAAATTAAATGAAAACTAACTTAACTGAAATTTAAAAAAATAATACCACAGCATAAAAAGATAAAATAAAATTACTATATCAAATGAAAAACTGAAAATGAAACGGACGCTGTCGGTTTCAATCCATTTTAGTTTTCCCAATTAGTCTGATTATTTTCATTCATCAGTAGTTGTACTAATGAATGTCAAATATCAAAACAAAATTCTCTGTAAATTATTTGTGCTTATACATAGTGCTTATGTTTCATGAATGAGGCCCAAAAAGTATAAAGAATAATTATCTCTGTAATTTAATACAATTTTAAAGTAGGACTCAAATTCAGAGTGTGTGTATGTTTATAGGTTAGTGTGTCACATTGCTGTCTGGTGCTCAGAGTGAGACAGACATGAATGTGTGTGTGTGTTGGACACTGGACAGTCCACACAATGAAGAGTGTGTAACTCAATATTAAGTAAATGATCAAGCCAAGAGTCCACTTCACACAATGAAAAGTGTGTGTTTGTGTCCTGCTGTTGACATGTCTGAGTGAGCCAGACACCAGACACAACTGTCAAAAACACACACACACACACACCTGTGCACTGGATTTGGTTTTTGACAGGCTTGTCAAACAAGAGTCTGTTCAAACAAACAGAACGACTTTATCAGAGACAGAGTCAGACAGAGTCAAAGCTGAAAAGAGGAGCATGTGAATCAGGTGTGGGGATTTTCACATGCAAATTCATGAGAAACTGGACTGAAGGGTTTATTTACAACCAAAACAAATATTATTATCTAAAGAGTAATCAGACCCTGCTCAAACCTCGACGGACCCAGACATTCATCTTACAACACTGGCATCATTTAAGCAAATGGTGCTGCAGAGCCATAACTAACAAACACACATCAACACGAGCTATGTTTACATCCACCTGTTTGTATATGAATTTCGGGATAATGCATTAAAAAACACAGGATGGAAATGCCAAGATGTACATAAATTAAAAAAATGCACCTAAAAATATATGCGCTCAATAGAGGTGGATGATTTGTTTATCTGATAAGCAGACATGCACAAAAACTACTATGGAAACACATTTACTGAATAAATCCCTTGACACGCACCAAAAAACGAATGTGACTTTGCCTCAACAGAGCATGTGATTGGATAACTGGACTAACACAGCATCTCAAATATTGGTTTGGTGGTTCTGAGATGCCTGAGCCAAAGTCTGTCATCAGAATGATTCAGTTTAGTCCCTCCCTCACACGATTGCGTTCCCAAACCCCAGCATCCAAAAGCAAGATAACATGACAGTGTTTATTGTGTTTCATCTGCCGCTCTGAGGCGCAAGTAATTTATGATATACGTAAAAAGAGCCACAGTGGCTTCCACTATTGCAGTGATTTACAGTTTTACTACAAATATTTTGTGCCAATTTCCCAGGAACTGGTTTTTTTTTGTTCTCTAGAACACATGGGTTTGAAACAGTTCTTTATTTGCAAATGTTCTATGTGATATTCCAATTTTGACCCCAACTTTGGGTGGAAACAGCTATAGTCACCCAGAGCCAGTGTGTGAAGCTGAATGTTTATATACATTATTGAGGGAATAATTTAGCCAAAAATCAAAAATCTTTTAATTTACTGAATTATTTGTTCAAATCTGGTAAACAGCTTTAAGGGTTAGTTCACCCAAAAATGAAAATGCTGTCAGTAATTACTCTCCCTCATGTTGTTCCAACCCCGTAAGACTTTCGTTCATCTTCAGAACACAAATGAAGATATTTTTGATTAAATCTGAGAGCTGGATCACTCCTCCATAGCCTTCTATTGTAATTGAAACTTGCCGGCACAGAAAGTTCTTAAAGACATCGTTAAAATAGTCCAAGTGACTACAGTGGCTCAACCTTAAGTTTATCAAGCGATGAGAATACTTTTTGTGCGCAAAAAAACAAACAAAATAACGACTTTATTCGACTATTCCTCATGGAACAACATGAGGGTGAGTCATTACTAACAGAAATGTATTGTATCAATTTCCTAATAATACTGTAATGTGCAGTCTGAGGGATGGCAAACAGTTCCTGTGTGTGTGTGTTGGATGGGTGAGTGATCAAGACGGTGTGTGTTTGTACTTACTGGCGACTCCTGATGCGAGTCCGTACAGTAGCCCTCCTCCATCTGACTGCGTCTGCAACACGTGAGTGGCGGGGGGACATTTCTCCTGTCTGATGAAGTTATACAGCAGCGTCTTCACCAGACGACTCGTCAGAGACAGACTACAGAGAGACAGAGAGATTTACTAAACCTACCATAATCACGGGAAAATTCATTAAATAGTTGTCTAGTTGAAATTGTTTACTAAAATTATCAAATGTAGATAGTAATTGAAAAAGTATAAAAAATTATAATTTTTTTTATTACAATAAAAAAACACACACACATATATATTTTGCATGTGTGTATATATATATATATATATATACTTTATATGTTTGTTGATAACAAATTTTGTACGATACAAAAATTTAAACCGATTTTAACCAATTGTCCATCCATTGAAATTCTAGCCAAATACTGTATATGCAAGCTTCTAAAAGTACGTGACACATTGTAACAGTAATCCATTTGAATGGTTTAATTCAATATTGACTTTAGACATAACCACCTGTGTTTGACAGGAAGGGCATTTTGACAGAATTGTGGGCGTATCAATTTGGTACTTGTGAGGTGTTTGAGAGGCGACTTTATGTGTGTGCACATTGGATACGAGAGCAAAACCTGTGGAAATTAGTAAAATAATGTGCAATACACACTACCCCACGCTGAAATTCATGCCATCACACCAAACTAAACAAATGAAACGAGTGAATAAGAGGAGGTGGGTGTGTGTCAACTAACTGTCAAACAGAAGAGAGAAATAGAAAGCAGAGCGATGGATGGATGGATGGAGTGTGCGGGTTTGGATGGGTGGGTGGATGGATAGATGGATGGGTGGGTGGGTGTGGGTGGATGGATGAATGATGGGTGGATGTGGATGGATGGAGTGTGTGGATGTGGAAGGGTGGGTGGGTGGGTGTGGATAGATGGATGGATGGAGTGTGTGGGTGGGTGTGGATAGATGGATGGATGCAGACAGACAGACAGATTTGAATCACTTTTGCCATTTAAAACAGCCAATCCTGGTTACCTATTTGATTAGATCACAGGAACATAGAAAACCAATTGGAAAAGAAAATAATAGGGCATTCTAGGAAATTACTATTATTTTGGTACATTAGCATTAGAGTCTCTGGGAAGAAAGAGAATGTCAAGATAAAACATGAGAATTAAAGAAACATGGAAATGGTCGGAATGCCAAGAGTTCTTGGTTTCTGGAAACTGGTGGTATTTTCAACGCTCATTTGCATTGTGAAGTGAGAATACGGCGCTTGTGTAGCTGGACGTCTTTGCTTTCACGTACTTGCATAGAGTACATCTCAGTCCTAAAGACAATCACGAGGTTTGACGAGTGTGCGTTAACGACCTCAGACATGCAAGCTCAGCTGCAGTGCTGAAGAGGTAACGAGGGAACTTTAAAAGCTCAGTATCACTGGTGCGATGCAAACGAGCCCTCCGGGTGAACTCAAGCAAAGCTCCAGACGAGAGCATCTGGCGAATTAATGAACACCCTTATTTGCATATGAAATGGCAGCTCTTGACAGTCGTCCTTCTGTTAATGCCGGTCAGGGGGCCACATTATCACACCGGGACAAACTTTGTAAGAATAAAACACTGCGGTAGGCAACAACTTTTAACTTGTATTGGCTCTGGTTCTTGAGTTCATCACTGGAACTCTGGATCAATTAGATGAGTCCATCTAGTCATTTTATATTATAAACCAACCGTATAGTACACACATTTACCTTAAATTACATGTACAAAGAAAAACAATTTTCATAAATAGTAAATTTCATAAATAATTACAGAAACGGCAAGTTTGGTGATCCTTCTTTCTCACCATCGTCCTTTGGTCAGGTAGCCGTAAATAAGCCCCTCCCTCAGAATCTCCTTGTGAAAGAGCTGATAGGACAACAGCACCAGGAGGATGGTCACAGATTCAAACAGGATGTTGTAGGTGATGTCACTAGGAAAACAGAGACAGGGTAAACAATAACACATACATTATTACTTCCTTTAGATATCTGACTTTACATACAAATGTTTTAACTCTCTAATTCAAGAATTCAAGGGGAATCAGAATGCCATATCCTGACTGGACAAGAGGAGGAGCTTGGGATGGAGGAGGCTAATCGGCTCCGGAGAAATACGATCGCTGCTGATAACACTGAAGGAGTTTATATACGTACACAGTGATGGTGGATCAACTGAGAGCCACCAGAACTGACCCTCCGCTCGATATTTATCTGTTAATAAGCCAGTGATTACAGTGATTTTACCATGGTCAAGAGGGTTTTAATTGAGTTGAAATCATAGTAACATAAGACCAGCTGAGTATTATTGCTCGACTAAAACATTGCAAACGATAAGATTGTAAAAGAAACAATTACATTTGTGTCAAAAATCAAAATCGTCTTTATGCAAAACTTGTTATTTGAAGATAATTTCAGGCACTATAATAAAACATTGGAAACCGTAAGAGTGTAAAAGAAACAAGTGATCAATTAATAATTGTGTGAATACACTATTGTTGGTAATAGTATACCATACAGGTCATGTGTCACCCCAAAATTCTAATAAAATAAAGTTAAAAAATAAATAAATATCAAATAATAAAAAAATAATAATAATTAAAAAAGCAATATATACTGCATTACAATTTATTTAATTTTTTTATATACTTTTATTAGCATTACAATATTTGCACTATGATGTCATTTTCAAACGATTAGGAAATATAAAAGAAAAGCTGATCACATTATAATTCATCAAAATCCCCAAAATAGTGAAGTCCTACTGTAAAATGAACTCATTGCCCCCTTTCATTTTCCAAACACACACACACCAACAGAACAATCTCTCTTTTTTTCTATTGTCCCTCGTTTCCTTCCTCTAGATTTCTCACTTCACTTCCACTTCCCAGTGCTGTGAAGTCACTTGGCATGATTCCGATTCCCTTTCACTCTCTCTCACACACACACACACACTATTATTACATTCATAATAACATGAAGAGTTTCCTATAGGATTCTGTTTTTGCAATGAGACCAACCAAACCCCACATCCTGAGCTTTAACGACACATTAAATCATACCGAATAAATTAAATTTTACAACATTATTTTAGTGCTTTGAATTTCTTTGGTTATAAAAATAGAATTTATTACAAAACTCTTAAATAACACAAATAAAATATGCAATGGAAAAAAACACACAAAACACACACACAAAAAAAACAGTTCAATCAGCAGAATTCTGACAACTAGACTTAAACAAGACAAATGTACTAAACTGAGATGGACTTTACTACAAAAAAAATAAAATATCGGGGATGAGGGATGTGTATGATCTGTGGACGTGGATTCCATGTTGGGCTGATGATAAATATTTTGGTACTTGTTTTTATTAAATTACGTATTACAAGAAAACCACAGAAGTGAGCAAAATTATTATAAACAGCCTTGCCTCTTACATGCTTGGTAAAGTTTGAATATTGTCGATTACCATTTTTTTAAGAGCATGGAAAAACTCTCTCATTAACAATCTTACAAAACAACAAAAAAAAAAACATTATTAGTCACCTTTAGCACCATAAACAGAATTATATCATGACAAATCTGTTCCATCTATGTTAAAAGGTCAGCATGGACAGTGATGATATGCAAAATTGCATAAGCCTAAAAACTCAGTCCATTGTATTATCTTCTGAAGTCATATGCACTTGGTTTATTTATGAAAAAGAGTGGCTACAGATTGTGCGACACATTACAAAAATTACAAAAAAAAGAGCGTCAAGAATGACGAAAATAATATTTGGGTGAACCATTCCTCATCACCTCGCGCAGTATAAACGCTCTGATGTTTTTGTGTCTCTGCAGCTACTTTATTTCTTGTTTTGATCTGTGAGGTAATTTGAGCTACAATTCACAATATCCTTCAGAACAGTGTGATAAGAATCCTGTCTCCGGCTACAGAACCGCTCAAAAACACGTAGGAACCAGCGAGTCGGGGATCTGAATGTGACCCGCGCCTGACTCCTCTTGGTCAGCACGTAGCAAGGAAACGAGACAAACGGCAACAAAAACAGACACGGGACAACAACAGCACACTGGACTCTGTTACAATACAAAAACTACGCAATCCACTTACACATGTGAGCCAGCACAAATAACAAGCTTTATTTCAAACCCGCTTAAAACTTTCAACTGCGTTTAAGTGACGTTCAAGTTCTCGGTTCGTTCTCAATCAATGCCTCGGGATTTATAAACGCTCTTGATTCATTAAGACTATTTGATTTAATTTAGTGATTACTGCCCTTTAACATTGGAAACAGCTGTCAGTCTATTAACAGACACAAATGTTCAATAAATAATCATTTGCATGAATCTCATGAAAACATATCCAGGTCACGTTTCATCCCAAAATTAAAATGATGATGAATAAACTAACAAAATAAAATATAAAAAAAACATTAATATATGTAAATATATTTACAAATGTGGTTTAATAAAGTAAATAGGGGAATTTTAAGCACTGAACAGTAAGATACTCATCAGTGTAATATGGTTAAGATTTACATTCAGAGTGGATATACATCTATCTGTCCTTTGCTTAAAAACACACACAAACAGTTGAAACATGCAAGAGGCAAGGTGAATAATGCAGTGCTGATGTGGTTATCTCTCTACAGAGATTTACAGATGTGTGTGTGAAGGGCGTCACTCAATAAATCATGAGTTCATGCATGAAGGTGTCCTCCACTCAGGTGTGTAAATGACAGCGGGTCACACAGAGGTCTGATGAGACACACGGGCACTCATGGGGTTTCATGGAAAAGCGCGTAAAGGGAGTGTGTAAAAAACGAAGGAGCAAAATGTCTCGTTTTTAAAGTTAAAAGTAGCAACTTTGTACACGCTACCCTCGCTGATAAACCTTGCTAAATAACTTTGTTTCATAAACGACGAATTTCGCGACTAAATTGAGTTAACAAACAGACTCGAGCTGAATAATGACACTGTTGTCTTCTGTAGATCTGCTTACGGCTGAATTTGTCTCATTTGATGAAGTCTGCATCACCGATTCCATTATTTTCCTATTTATTACCGTGAAGCTGCTTTGAAACAATCTGTGTTGTATAAAGCGCTATATAAAAGTCAGGTGGCATGATTAATTGTGCTTCAAAAAGAAAAAAAATTAAAAACTTCAAGAAAAAACGTATGAAAATATTTGTGTGTATAAATAAGGACAGCGACACCTCATTGTTTGAGTCAGAGTTGACCTTCACACACTGTATGTGAGAGACCCGTCATACATCACGACAATAACACGCGCACACACCTCCCTCTCACACTGAGACATACTTTATCACTTAGTATTTGCAAGACAGAGAAATCTAGAACAAAAACAAACACACACATAGTTCTTCTTCGGTACTCACAGAAGCGGCACTTCAACGATGAGATGCACCAAATTACAGACCAGCTCCTCCAGAAGATCCTCACAGATGGAGTCTGTTAACACACATACACACACAAATCACGGTCAGGTCAGAGACGGGAACGCTGACACATCAGCAACGTAAATATCATCTGTGAAAAGTTTCTTTAGGTCACTGGTTCTGTATGTTAGTCATTCTGATTGGTCAGAGATGACATTTATGCTCAGATGTGGGTTGTGGAACATCAATCAACTGAGAAGCTGTCAGGCTGGACAGACAGACCAGAGTGCTGAAAAAGCACTTTTATTTTGCCTTTCGGCCATTATTATTGATAAGCACGATGGAGAGAGGACAGGAAATGTGAAAAGAACAGGATCAGGAGATGACCCGAGTAAGTCTCATACTTGCATGACACACATGAGCTTCACTGTTTCATATGTCTTGGTTATGCTGAAACAGACCTTCAAAACACTAACTTTATCTTCTTTTGTGAAATCAAATATGGGAAATGTGCGTCAGGGTTATTAACAAAAGCAAACTCTTCAAAACATTTTTGTTCGTTTAAATAGAGAAATAAAATATAAACATTAAATTAAAAAAATGTAAACTAAAACAAAATGAGAAATGGAACTGAAATGAGTTTAAGCACTAAAATTACTAACTAGAAATACAGTATATACAAATTGTAACTGAACTAAATAGTAATCTTAATATAAAAACTAATAAAACAATAAAAGCACATAATACAATTCTTAAATTAAATAAGGACAATTTTATTAAAAATGAAATGTTAACATGAAAACGGAAAGTATAAAAACAAAAGGTAACTCAAAATCTTAATAAAACTATAATGATATAAACATAACACTAAAATAACAAAAATGGACATCAGATATTCACACAAAATAATACAACCTAAAAAAAACTGTGGAGACAACCTTTGTGGCTAGTTAAGGTTAGTATGGGTTTGGGTTAGGCTTAGTCTGGGTTAGGGTTAGTCTGGGTCAGGGTTAGGCTTAGTCTGGGTTAGGGTTAGTCTGGGTTTGGGTTAGGCTTAGTCTGGGTCAGGGTTTGGCTTAGTCTGGGTTAGGGTTAGTCTGGGTTTGGGTTAGGCTTAGTCTGGGTTATGGTTAATCTGGGTTAGGGTTAGGCTTAGTCTGGGTTTGGGTTAGGCTTAGTCTGGGTTAGGGTTAGTCTGGGTTTGGGTTAGGCTTAGTCTGAGTTTGGGTTACGCTTAGTCTCGGTTAGGGTTAGTCTGGGTTTGGGTTACGCTTAGTCTGGGTTTGGCTTAGTCTGGGTTTGGCCTAGTCTGGGTTTGGCCTAGTCTGGGTTTGGCTTAGGGTTAGTCTGGGTTAGGGTTAGTCTGGGTTAGGGTTAGTCTGGGTTAGGGTTAGTCTGGGTTTGGGTTAGTCTGGGTTTGGGTTAGGCTGGGTTTGGGTTAGGGTTATGTTAGTGCTAGTCTGGAGTAATTAGAACTAGCTTAATCAAAAAAAGATCAATATATTTAGCTATACTTTATGGACACTGCCTCTCTCATCTGGGAACATTTACAAATTAAAATTATTATATAAATAATAATAAATAAGGTTTTGTTTAGGTGTAGGGTTAGCTGTTGGCTTTACATAAAACAATGGTAATACTTTACAAAAAAGTGTCAGTTGTTAACATTACATTAACATGAATAAACAATGAAAAATAATAAATGCTTTCAAACTAGCATTTATTAATTTAGTCCATGTTCATTTCATTCATTATCTAACATAAATGCTGTAAAAATATCTAATGCTTATGCTAGCTAATGCATTAACTACAAAACAAATGAGACCTTGTTGTAAAGTGTTACCAAAACAAAAACAATAATGTTCTCATTTAGGTAACTAGGTAAATCATATATGTGTGTGTACTGATTTGACTATATTTGTGAGGGTCAAATCTAATTTATTTATAATATAACAAAAAAATTAAGTGGAGCTAATTCATTTGCGTGTGATACCGTAGGTTCCTGGTGCCCTCTCCTGGTAGGAGAACTGTAAGTGCAGCTCCTCTTCACTCATCTCCCTGATGAAGACCTTCAGCAAACAGCGCACCAGAAACAAAGCATTATGGGCCTGCCAGATGAATAACTGACTAGAGAAAGAGAGAAAAAGAGAGAGAGTCATAGATAATTATTGACCTACAGCAGCCTGTGAACTGTGGCTTGACCCTGTCAGTGGTTTTGGATCATCCTTGACTAAACCAACACACACACACACACACATATAGGCTGTCAGGCGTCTGTAGTAGTTACTTTATCATTACAAGTTCATACACTGAGAAACAGCTCACATGTGCGGCTATCACATCAGCTGACCCGGGATCAAATGTGTGACTGAGGGTTTGATCTCTGCGTAGTTCAGATCAGAGCACATCATAAATATTCTCTCAGAGGATCACAGTGTGACGGTTCACATGCACGCGCTGCAGGAGCGCTGGGTCACTCCCTGCTCTGGGTTTATGCTACAGCAACACTTTCAGCATACACATCAGCTCTGGTGGTGTGTGTGTGTGATACTGTGGTCTGCACCGCTGATATTCCCATGGGAAAATCAGTTCAAAACCATCTTAATGGTACCGTCCTGCGTGATTAGTTAACGTGCCCTAAATATCACGACTGGGTGGGAAATACGCTTACGTTTTAAAATATATAATTCTCAAAATCTCACAGATGTCCTGAGCATCCAAGAACCACACACAAAAAAATAAAATAAAATAAATCTCATCCGTTTTCACACTCAAGCTGTTACTATATTCTATACTAGAGATTTGAATCTTTTCTTGCCTAACGATTTGATTATGAAATAATTCTCGGTTAATTTTTTCCTCCAAGTCCAGTCAATCTAAGAAAGGAACAATTTTATTTTATTTTAACCGAAGCATAAGAAATAATACAGAAATTAAATATTTACATATAAAATGATTTGTCATTAAGTCACGTCATTAATAACTTTTTTACATCCGCAGCACACTTTATTTCCTCATTCATGCATGTTCTTTTCATAAAAAAGTAAAACATCAGACGAGTGCTTTGCTTACGAAGGACATACACGCAATTTTTTTTTTTTTTTATTAATATAGCTTACAGTAAGAGTATTTTGTACTGCTTGATATTTGGGGTGAGTAAGATTTTATTTTAATACTTTTATTCAGCAGGGATGCATTCAATTTCTCAAAGGTGAAACTTAAGACATTTATAACGATACAAAGTATTTCCATTTCAAATGAATGCTGATCCTTTCATTAAAAAAAGAAATAATAATTATATCAAACTTGTTTGATTAATTACAATAGAAAACGTGACTGATTTCTTCATAAACATGGAAAGTGAATAATAAATAAACATTAATGAACCACTATATAAAATATAATATTTTTAGAAACTTGTAGGCAATTATTTGTGATGTTTGCTCGAGGAACTGCCGTGTCAGTTTTCAATGGATTTTGGATACTGTGTCTTCATATTATTCATTGTTTATGGATATTGAAAACGATATGCACACATTAGTGAAGACGTATCTCACTTACTCTTGGCATTCTGTGGAAATCTTCAGTTCTTTGGTTCTGCTGAGAAAGACTCTCACCAATGCCCCGAAGTTCCCAGACCTGGGGTTGTTCTGAACTATAAAGGGCCGAGACAGAAGATCAAAAACACAAAACAATTTCCCATCTGAAGGTTGCTTATGATAAATGCTGCTTAACCAAATCAACAGAATGCATTAAGCATCCTTGTGATATGGTGGTAAAAAAAAAAACAGTCAATAAACACAATAAATTACATACAGCACATCATAAAAGCAGAGCTGACTTGGGATTGGCTTCATGCGCACACAGACCTAAATTACAGAGCTTTATTTCACAGGACAGTGGGTTTGAAATCAGTGTGTGTCTCTTTGTACAGAGGGCTGTAATGAAATGGCAGTAAATTACTCATACAAACACACATACTCAGAGTCTTAGCCAGCGGGACGACAGCCTCCTCCAGGAGTTTAGCATCAGCACTGCAAACACAGAGAGAGATAAACGTCACTCAGACCACTCAAGCCAGGGTTTTACAATGAATTTAACATGGTCAAGAGATGTTAGGCAGAAAAATTATGAAGGGAGGGAATAATAAAGGAAATCATTGTTCAATAAATAATGAATAATTTTGACAAAAAAACAAAAATTATTGTACTAAACAAAAGAGTTTTTCTAACTGTAGGTTGCATGCATGTAAAACGTATGGCAGAGATACATTATACATAGATAGATGGTCATTAAAAGTAGTCATTAAAACTGATTAAAAGTACAACAGATTATGTCTGACATTTGAAGTTGTCAGAGATCACCCTTTTATGACTGTTTTCATACTATGTTAAATAGGTTAAACTGTAACATGGGATTTGTGTCTTACGACAGGTAACATAAGTGCACTCTGTCTATTCATGCAAAGTGCTGAAAAATGCAGGACAACTTCAATGACAAGTCTATCATAAATAATGAACACGAATATTTCAACTAAAAAAAGAGTTGCTGATTGCTGAAATAGTGTTTGTGATGTTGGATTCTCTGGCTCCCTCTGGTGTCGTCTCTCATATAACCTTCAAACTGAGAGAACAATAGATGAACTAACCGACAGGACATCCAGCTGAGATCATTATGACATCATCAACACACATCTTCAGACAGAAAAGTCCAATCAATGACTGTATATTAGCAGTTAACTACAACAGGAAAAACACTAAATATAATGGCAAACACACAACACGGAGTATAACAGATTTAGAAAACATCTTCAGTCATCATCACTCATCAACCACATTAACTTTCGAAATAAACACAGCAGAAACATCTTCTACAGTCAGCAAGCTCAAATAGTTGTGTGTTGTGTGTATAGTTGTGTGTATCTGTTGTTTTTTCAGAGCTGGTGCGAGTTTGCTTCTGTTTTGTTAAAGAAATTTCAAGTGCCCTGGGAGTGTGTCTGGGTTTAAGTGGTCATACAAGCGATCGAACAACCTTTATTGTTCTTTTTAATTAAATATTTGAATTTGATCAATTGAAAAACTCACTGCATCTCAACAAGGGGGTCTCCGCAAAATTCCAACAGGATGCCTAAAAATTCATTTTTAATAATATATTACAACAATCTAGCTTAATATCTAACACAAAACAGTATAAAAACAGACAGCCAAGACGTAACCAAAAAACTATTTCTTAACTTCTGGAATCACAAAATGATTTGTAGTTAAATTACATATGCCAACACTCCCAGTTTCGGTTATAGTTAATTATGTTAATATTATATATAGGGAGCCTTTGAATATTGTATTAGAGGGCCTTTAGGTCAAAAAGTTTAAGAACCACCCAATACAAAACCTCCCAGTCCGCATAGAGTATTTATCTATAAACTAAAAAAAAAGAAAACATTAATCATGATCATTCCATCACAATTATGAGCACTAGGGCTGGGCAAAACAGAGAAGCTAATAAACCATCATCTTAACAAAGCATTTTAAAACTAGCCTAATCACACCAAGCATTAGGAAACGTAATGGTCAAAAAGGCCCTATTTACACCTGGTATTAAGATGTGTTTTGGTCGAGCGGGTCACAATTGGATGATGCTAAATAAAAGTGTAAACAGGGTTTAAAACATTTTGAGCTTTAGGTTTAACCACTTCCAGAGGCAGTCGAAAACACATTCGACCTCAGTATAAACCCTCATATGGTCAAATGCGTTCTAACAGCAATAATAGCAGGGGCGGCTGGCCAATAGAGGGCGCTAAGCTATGGGCGATTCTTGTAGCGCCCCAAGCAAGCGTGCGGCACTCAGGACAAGTCCTATTTACTGTACATGTGGAATATTTGCTTGAAAAATCACTCAAAATTGTTGTGGGTAATACATTTTTTATTTAATCAGCTAATTAAGTAATCACCAAGTATATTGTTTGAGTTCAATTTCAAATGGAAAGTTTATGCAATGCTTGTTTTTGTGCAAGAATGCCTCAAACTTTTAATGCTGGCATTAAATAATTACTTTTTCACAGAGCACTGGTATCCTTAAAATGTATTTGGGTGGTTATTAATTATAATAAGAATTGTTAATTATATAGCCTTTCCAAAACCCTAGGTCGCTTTACAATATAGGTTAAGAAATGTAAAAAAAAAATAAACCTCAACATCAAAGATGGCAGAAAGTAATATTCAGAGGTTACTTACAATAATCTCTTACAATATCCATGACAAAGCGTACATCAAAGCGTACAAAAATAAGCATGTCATGGAACCTTTAAAGATTGTGAGCTGAAGAGTAATATTCAGATTTTTTTAAGTGTTTTTAAGAGGTTTTTGATGGAGAGAAGGGTGGATGCTTGACAAATATCTTGAGGAAGAGCAAGCCACAATGCTAAAAGACCTGAGTCCAATGGTTACCAGACTATTGAAAATACCAAATATGATACAGCCACCAGTGAACAATAGACTGATGACCTGATGAGTGGACATTATGGAAAGCATGAGATTTAAACTTTGTCTGATGGAGACCCAAGCTTGGTTTGAAGACGAAAAACGTACCAAGCACAATATTCTCTCACCATTCCTGATTTCTAACACTATGATCTTGTATGATCGGCTGTCAGAGCAGAAACAAAAGCTGATGCTCTTCATATGTTCTTCAGTCGTCACTTGTCAATTGTGCGAGCTTATTTTGCCCATTAGATCGAAAGATCTGAAAAAAACACATACATTTACAATCCATAGATAGACCCTCCCCTCGAAAAAATCAGGACTGGTAAAAAGAGGATAAAAGAGAGGGATTAAAACACCAGGTGTAAACGTGAATCTCTCCCTCTCTCTCGTCTACTTGTGATCCGTAAACAGGGCCAGAGACAGCAGCAAATTCAAATATTCAATGTGTTGTCCAGCCCATGAGCACATGATCAACAGACACCTGAAGTACCTTCAAGCGATGAATGCTACTCACTTTACCAGGGCTAGCTTGGAGTAAGAATTTTTTTTTTTTTCGTGACGTGAGAGTGTGTGAAAAGTGTGAATTGCGTGAGAGTTGGCAGCTCTGCTTTACATGCTAAAAAGTTAGCCAATCAGAACAGGGGTCATTTGCATGCCTAAGTTTACATTAATAGACAGTATTTTTTGTTTGTTTGAGATTAGTATTATAGTTTGACATAAGAAGACGTCTGGGAAAAAATAAAATGCTACAAAAGTGCAGAATATCTGTCTATATCTCATGGATGCATCCATCTTTATTTTATATCAGCTTTAAAATGTGGATTTAGTCGATTTTTGCATGAAGATATAGGAAAACTCTACCTAGACACTATATAGTTTTTGTTTTAAAGCCCGCTACATGTTGTTTTTAAAGGAACCCTTTCAATTTTACTACATATTTAAATAATAACTATATTAAATTTAAAAAAGCTAAACAAACCAATATAGAAATATATTACTATAGTAATAATACTATTGTATTGTAAACTATTTAATTTCATAACAGTAGTACAACTTTATTTCACAGAACAGTAAAATTACACTACTAAAAGTAGTAGATTTCTTTGCTTTCAAGCTGTAAAACAGATCTTTTATTCTGGTGGAATTAAAACCAGCTTTAGAAAAAAATTTTTAGAAACACAAAAATGCACATTATAAGCTATCCAAACATATTTATCCATTTATGTGTGAAATCGAGGTTCTTTGAAACCCTGAATTGGTTGCAACTTCTTTCCAAGCCCAATTTAAAACTCATCAGATCTAAACGACTCCCATTTTTTCTATTCAAAATGGCTTTCCACCGAGAGATAAGTTTGCATCCCTGATATTTGAATGAAAGTGAGTGTATGGGACATCAGTGATGGGGGTCAGAGGAGCGTCTCACCTGCAGGTGGGGCTAGTGAAGGTGAAGGAGATCAGCTGGTTCCAGAAGGGCTCATTCTCCGATATGGCGTCTGGACCAATCAGATTGCGGATGCTCTGGCTCTCCGACAGGTCGCTCACCTGACTGGTGTTTGCACCCATCGCCTCCAGAAACCACGAGAGACTGTCTCAGAGCCTCATCGCCAGCCAAGCAAAACCTGGAGGATGATGAGAGCAATCATTTCACTGAGTAAAGTAATCAGTTGGACAAATAAGACATGGAGGAGGAATCACACTACAGTAGACATGTAAAGGAAACACACACTTGAAACAGGTTTGATGGGTAGACACAGAGCCCTAACACACAAGCACACACCTATTTGTTAAGCACATACACCCTTTACACACACATTGTTGATGTTCCACTGGTTCCCTGCTGTGATTGTGAAACTCACTGCCAACTGCCAAAAAGCAGTTACAGTTCATTAAACATCCTGGTTAATATTACATTTGATCTGATCAGATAAGATGACGTGACGTGACCTCTCTTATTGACTAACAAGGAAATTCGTTTATTTTTGAGTCAGACAAAGCTGCACACATTTGTATTGAGACTGAGACATTATTTTCAAGGCACTTAAGCACATTTTCACTCCAATTCTTAATTATGTAATTGTTAATTTCAAAGGCAGCTGAAAACTGAGCTTTACTATCACGTTTATATATATATATTTGTATAACCGTAACAAGAGACATTTTTCCCATTTCCAAGAGAATTTGAGAAATGAAAAAAAAAATGCCACTATCTTAATAGTAGTCTTTAATCTTTATAGTTAATGAATGTGACTCAAACAAGGTCTTGACGGATTTTGATGAGATTCACTCAAAGATGCACCAAGGCATAAACAGTTATGATGCAATGGTGCAAAATATCTTGCCAATTACTAAAATCAATAATTAAATGCTATCAAGATATGCTATGAACATTAGAGGTGACAACAGACTACAGCTAAGTACCTCATGAATAACCTACAGAATACAGGTATGTTAACACATATACAAAGACTAGGTCAAACACCTGCAGGGTATCAATGTTTAGACTACAGTCTGTACAGCAGCAGTGCAAAAGAACACACAATGAACACAAATACTGTCTAATATTATACATTGTGATATAACACAAGGCTGGAGAAGACTGATAAATACAATTTCATTCAAAACTTCCTGTAAATAATGGAATTCATTTACTACTAAATAGACATATTTGGTTTCCTCAGAGGGCTTTCAAAGAACTCACTTCATAGCTTCTATAGATAAAACCACTAGAATGCAGTTAAATATGTATTTTACATGACTATATTATGGTATGCAATTCCCTGTTTAGAAGTTAATAAGTGTCCAGTAAGCTATACACTTAGCAACAATTAGCTTGCAGACTCGAGTGAATGGAGAAAGCCATTATAAACACGATAGCTTCTATGCTGGCATGCTAGCAGGCTAACGACAAGAATAACTTACCTGATGAATGTCAGAATTGACAGCGCCTCAGAAAAGCTCCTCGCGTTCCTTAAGACAAGCGTCAATGTATTTTCAGAAGAAAACTAAATTAGTTGTAACTAGTAATGGTAAATTTCCAGTAAAGTGTGTTTAACAGTGTAAGTTTGACTCTGTTAGCTCTGCGTCTCCACGTCACCACTGACGCTCGTGACATCGCGAGCACGCGCAGAATAACACTCCAATCCAAGAGGTGGAGAAACTCATGAATATTCATTGGAATTGATTGCCAGGTAATATATATACGGGGACTTTTTTTATTTATTTCTTTTTTTTTCTTATTCTCAGTTTGTAACTGAGTTATGGTCTGGCAAAGCTTTTTTATGCTTACAAACAGACAAAGATTGCAAACATATCTGTACAAAATATGACAACAATTATGTAGTCATAATTGGATAAGAAAAGAAGTTAAGAGTGTGTAACTATCTAAAACAAAGGAGAAGAAGAAAAGAAATAATAATAATAATAATAATAATAAATAAAAAGAGGGCAAGATATTGTATAAATAATTTAAGAGTAGGTCTAACCGAAGTCATTACAAAATAAAAGTGTTTTTATTGCTTTCTTATTTACTGAGGATGAGATGATGTTAAGGTACATTTCAAACTCTTTCAAAAAAAAAAAACTATTAAATTGTTTTGTTGTTGGAGAATTTACATTTATGGATATAATTATAACAAATTATAAAAAACCGTGAAGTAACAGTGATATCTCCTATTTGTCAGTCGTATTGTTTTGTCTCAAGATGCACACCAGCAATGTTTTTTTTTTCTAAGACACGTTTAAAGAAAGCTACTTAAATTAGCGTGACCAACTGTCCTGTTTTCATATAACAATATAACAATTTTCTATCCATACAGAGGAGGCATAACCTACTTTAAATGTATAGAAATTAATAAGGTATCTTTGAGTAAACTTCGAGTATCATTTGAGTTGGCCCATGTGTTTGCTGGGCCGAGTGTCCTGGTTTTTGGTAATCAAAATATGGTCACCCTACTTAAATGCACTAATTTAACTAAGGCCCAATCCTGCCTTAATCTAAGCCCAGTTTCTGAAAGAGGGCTTTTAAATCTCATTTTAGTGTATTTGCCACTGACCTTCAGCCATACCAGAACAGTGGTTGTTTGAGCGGCGCCCTCTACTGAACAGGTGTGTATTTGCATTTCCTTTTGCATTTGCACTTCTGGTGTGAAAGGGCCTTTACATTTGCCAAAAATGCAACTTTTATAGCAATCAAACAAGCAAGCCAAGTCCAGGAGCGGAAAAGTGATGCATTTAATGCAATTAGTTACTACTTTAGGAAGTAACGCAATCTTGTAATGCATCTAATGCCAACACTGGTAATAATAAACATGAATAAACAACGTCTCAAAGACAAAAGTTCTATATCTTTTTCTTTATTTATAGACATTAGTATATTACAGTACATTACAGACAGACAATTCACAGAGCTGTGTAAAAGTAAATCTGTCACATTGATATGGCTCGGTAAAGCCTTTCGGTTCGTTCAATATGCACATTTAGAACAACCAGCCTAATAAATATAGTGTTTTCTCATAAACAATATTATTATATGGTAGATTATTTGAAATCTTGTAACAGGTTTCATGTAACTAGGTTTAAAATGAGAAATATGTCCGCCTCCCAAGTCCCTGTACCAAAGTGCAAAGTCAATTCTATGATATAAGAAAAAGTCAATGTCATTAAGGCTTCATTCTTGCGCAGACAGACATCTCTGAGTGACCCATTTAAGAAGAACTCTCAGAACAAGGAAATATTAAATCAGAGAAGACACCACAACGAGTGCATTAAAAATGATCTCAAGGCAGATTTTAAGGGACATACGTTGAAAAATAGAGCATGAGCGGTTTCCATTGAAGATGGAGGACTTGAGGAACACGTGAGTTCAGAAGTATTTATGTAAACATGAGGTTTCACCACTCTAAAATTCATTCATTCTTTTACAGCTCATAAGGAACATCATCTAGAACAAAACACCAACACCAGGCAGATTAAACCGTGAGGAGATTTCATTGTGAGGTTTGTGGGGTTCGGCCCTTTTCTTGGACGTTCTGCAAAAAGGATCCAAAAAAACAAAAACAAAAAAACATTTGGAATGATAGTTCCTTACCAAGTTCACATTTCCAGATAAAGGTCTTCAAAAAAGTCTTGAAGAGAAAACTAACTGAATTTAATCAACACCTTCACTACACTGCAAAATCAAAACAATCATTTTCTTAATCAGTATTTTTGTCTTATGTTTCAGACCAGACTCTTAAACAAGGGGAATTCACTTTTAACAAAGTTTTATAATATGATATTTTTCAAGGCGGTGAGAAATAAAATAAAATATATTACCTTTATATATATATATAAAATATTACACCATTTTGCTTATCTATATATATATTAATTTAAGAAAGTTGATATTTTTAGTGGGAAAAATAGTGTAAGAAAATGATTCTTTGCAGCGTATAAAGAAAGAACGTTTGAATCGGTGATGAGATTAGAAACACACATATATACACATACACACACACTCTTTCTCTCTTTTATGAAGGGCAGGACCCTTAATTGTACTTGTGCAAAAAACGGACAAAAATGTAACTCCAAAATAAAAAACACACGATAAAAACCTGAGAGAAACAATTTGTTGTACGCAACTGCACAACGTTAAAACCTGTACAGGTCATCGGTGAGTGTTTACTTGTACTTTCCCTTTAAAGCCCTTTTCCCCCCCATTTCCCATTGGCTCTTTCACTTTTCCCGCCCCTTAAATGACACGTAGCCTCTTCCTATTGGCCCGTTCCAGTGGGCAGCTCAGATATGACCGGGTAAAGGCACATTAGAGAGTGTCTCAGATGTTTTCAGCCTGAGGAACCTCTCGTATGCTGTCTCTGAGTTCAGGACGAACGCGCGGCCGCTGGCGAACGCTGCGCCCCGTGGAGATGATGTCGGCGTAGCCGCGGGAGTGCGAGAAGGCGTAAGCTGAGCGACGAGACCGTCCGCCACGCACGAATGATGGCTTCTTCTTCCTCCTCTCCTCCTCTTCATCCTCAAGCTCATATTTCTTCCTGTTCCTCTGGACCTGGAGGAAGAACATGAGACGTAGAAACAATAAAACATCTGTATGGTGTATTTAACCTCGAATATTCTGTGCGTCACCAATTATGTGTTGATTTTGTTTCTGGGCTCTATTAGAATGGGTTTTCACGCTTCAATGACGCCACGCTTCAATAACAGAAGACTCTAAATTGTAATGTAGACGTGCATTTTCTGTAAAGCTGCTTTGAAATGTGAATTGAAATGAATTATTTGTGTCACTGTTGCAGCTCCTCTCTTCCCAGTCTATCAGTAACGCTCTGTTTTGTTCCTGTCTCTTCTGAAAAGCACACTGTGCTCTGATTGGTTGGCTGGATCAGTATGTGTTGTGATTGGTCAACTGCTCTTTTGTGTTTGAAAAATGTCCCGCCCCTTACCATAACATGAGTTTTAACACACTACTAACGAACTCGACCAGGCCCCGCCCCTTTATTCTGCGTATTAATTATTTAAATGAGGAATATTGTGAGGTGTTTCAGGGAGTTCAGAAACACTGACACTGATATATAGAGCTTTTTCATGCTCGAACAGCAACATTACACACTTCGAGGACGCCACTGATCTCACCTTGTCTCCAACAGAGGGCCAGATGGTTTGATAGAGGAACTGGATGCAGATGACAGGAAGAAGACAGATTCCCACCGTCAGAATGATGGTCAGCCACAGGTACGGCTGTCTCAGGGCGTTCGACGCGGCACCTAAACGTCAGAACAATGACGAGATTATTACTGTTTGAGAATCAATGGTGGAAATAACAGTGTAGTAAAGGTTTCTTGGAAGCTTACAGCCCAAATGTGTTACTTTAGTATTATTTATATACTATTATAGTATTTATTCATATTTTAAAATAGTATTTTTCAGTATTACTAAAACTTGTTATGCGCTTTTGTCATTTGTAATCATTTTTTATTACAATTTAGGATGATTTATGTTTACCGGTATTTCAGTTGTAGTTTTTATACATTTTCCAGTTACTAATTTTAGTGTTTCAACATTTCTAATTTTTGTTTAATTTAAGATTTTCATCTGATATTTATAATACTAATATTTTTTTCCAGGTTTATATTTTCAGTTTTAAGATTTAGTGTAATTTGTGAGTTTTTGTCATGTGTTATTTATTTTATTTTTTTTAAGATTACTATTTTTGTTTAATATGTTCTTTAAAAGTGATTTCCAGATTGTAATTTTAGTTCTACTTTGAACATCTTATTGCAGTTAGTTTCAAATTTTCACTTAAAGTTTTAAATCTTATATTTATATTTTATTCAAATTCAGCTTTATCTTACAGTTTTAGTTAACAATAATAACCCTGTATTATGCGACTAAATGTATGATGGGAAGTTTCATCAAATCAAATTCATATACTCAGTTTAAAAGAAGCCTACATTTCTTTTAAATACAATTTAAAAAAAAAAGTAATTTAAATAGTTATACATCTGTTTGACTAATTTACATGGCGACTAAATAAAATAATAAATAATCATCAATATTCATATTCCTCAGCTCTATAATAAAGCCTACCATCTCTTAGCCATTATTTTACGTTAAAACGACTTGCAGTTATTTCATTTTGTAACTTTTAGAATCACATTTTTATAAAAACCTCAAAAAATCTTTTGTTTAAATCTCAAAAATCATAAAATTGTGATACAACCTATTGCTCATATCACCCATCGCTATTGATTATACCAGTAGACATTGTGCAATAAAGTCAAGTCAAGTCGCCTTCATTTATACAGTGCTTTTTAACAAAATAAACTTCACAGTGATAATAGGAAATTAAGTAACAGAGATTGTTTAGGCTTTCCAGCAGCTCTAGAATAAAGTCACTGTCCAGCTAAAGTTAGTTTTGATTGATTCACTTCCGTTGCAAAAATCATTGGGTCGCAAACATGACAACTTTCTAACAGAAAACCCTCAATGTGATCCGGCTGCTCATTTGCACAACAGTGTCTGGTGCACGAGAACGCAAACCATATTTTTAAAAACATTATCATCTCCACGTAAACTTTAATAAAGGTTTAATAAAGTAAATAAAGGTTACTATGACT